AAATCACAAACTCTTCAATTTGTTGGTAATTTTTTTTTATTTTACAAAATTCATTTTTAAAATTTCAACATTCCATTATGTTGGTAAGGTTTTATTTACCAAAATTCATTATTAGAATTTCAATCTTCCAATATGTTAGTAAGATTTTATTTAAAAATTTTTTTTCTAAATTTTAAAACCCTCCAATATATTAGTAAGGTTTTATTTTTTTCAAAAAATATTTTTTTTTCTAAATTTTAAAACTCTCTAATATGTTAGTAAGGTTTTATTTTTTCAAAATTTTTAAAACCCTCCAATATATTGGTAAGGTTATTTTATGTTATCTTATTTTTTAAAACTTTAAATAAATAAATAAATAAAATACCTAAAATAAAAAAATACCTAAATTTCTAGCTCAGTTAAGCTTTATGGACTACTTGGCTTGGCTTTAGAGAAAAATGGCTCAACAACTAGGTTTGTAGCTCAGCTCAATTGGCTTAGCAATAGACCAACGTCTAGGACCTAATTTGGTGCATTACAAGTTGGGTTAACACATTGGGCAACACGCAAGTTTTGTTGTGTCTAAATGCTTCAAAACAACACTATTTCAATTATATATAGAAGCCAAAAAATTTCATTTCATTTCTTTTATTTTAGATTTCTCTTCTCTCTTTTTCTCTTTTTGCCTCTTTCTCTAATCTATTTTTTAGTGTTAGATTGTCAAAAATCTCTCCAAAATATTCAATGTTCATTATTTTGAATGTCTTCATTAAATAGTGCATTTTCATTATTGGTAGTTGACTTACTTTTTGGTGATTTTAAAAACACTCAATCTCCTTCCATCATAAAAAAGTGAGATCTCTTTGTGTAATTCATTTAGTTTGAGATCTTTTTTGACTTCACCAATGTTTGGAACCTTATTCTCAAGAAACTCATCATTTTAGGATTTTATTTCTGTCACACCTTCGTCCTAATGTTCCCCATACATAGCATACCTTTTTTAATATTCTAGGTATCTTATAAAAATACACTTATTGGCCATTAGACCTAATTTTCTATACTTGTTTCTTGAATGGTGGACATAACTAGCACATCTCCAAGGTCGTACATGTCCCAAACTTGGTTTTCTACTACTATATTACTCATATGGAGTGTTAAGAAAAAACTTGCTAAGGACACGGTTAAGTATATAGGCAACAGTCAATAATGCATCTCCCTAAAAATTGATTGAGAGGTTTGTTTATGCCATTATGGACCTAACCATATCTAGCAATGTTTGATTCTTTTGCTCAACTACACCATTTTGTTGTGGTGTTTTGGAAATTGTTAGTTGTCTATGAATTCCTTAGTCTTTACAAAATGTCTTGAATAGATAGAGAAATATTCATGCCTTGGATCTATTGTGAAGCATTTTGATACTTATTTTTTTTATTCTCAACCTCTAGAATAAATATTTTGAAACTATCTAAAGCTTTAGAATGGTGAGAGAGCAAATAAACGTAACAAAAATGGTAGTAATCATTAATGAAAAACAAGAATGCACTATGCCTAGCTTTAATGTTCATAGGTCCATAAATGTTCAAATGAATAAATTCTAATGGATTCGTAGCCTTTTAAGCCTTACTAAAAGGCTTTTTACATGTTTTTCCTACTATGCAGGAATTATTTCTAAGTAGATCAATTTAGTTATTTGTCATAACAGATATTCTTTGACTAATCTTGTTATCCTTTTTTGACCAATATCATCAAGTCTAGCATATCATTTATTGTAATCATTATTAGAGCTACTAATTACAATATTAACAAATAAAGAATTATTATTATTATTATTTATATTAGGTCAAAAGAAACTATTGATGAACATGTCTCAAACAAGTTGTTCTTAAGATAAATCTTGTACATGTTTGCTTCAAAAAAGAATAAGAAAACATAACATAACAAAGATTGGACTAAAAGTACATTACATTGTACCTTAGGGGCATGAAGTGAATCATGGGAAGTAACACATATCTGATACTCATCCTGATCTGGTACAACCCAATACCAATCATTACTTCAGTTTTACCATTTGTTAGCTTAAAGAAATGTGTACTTATAGATAACCAATGACAATCTATAAAGCCCATTTTATCTTGTATTACATGCTTGTTTTCTCTTGTATCAACAATCCAACCAAGAATTGATTTAGCAACTAATGCATAGGAACAAACATATGTAGAACTAAAGGTAGAGGGAACACATACCTTCTTCGACTGAGTGCAATCCAAAGTGAAGTGTCCTTTTTTCCTTGGCATGTGCATATGTATATATGTTTGATTCACCTCTTGCTGTTCAGCTTTTAATTCCAAGTGCCAAGATATATCAGTGAATGTCTTAACATTCTCACTATGGGTCATGAGGAGTTTTATGTGGGACCATTCTAGGTCAAGTAGTGAACAAATCAAGGCTACTACTTGTTGCTTATCAATGAGCTCCACATTTGCTGCCCTTAGGTCTTGTATCATACTATTCCTAACATGAAGATGTTTAACCATTGTATGTTTCAGGTCTTTTGTGTATTGCTAGAACTTCAAGTTCTAGGTATGGATCCTCATTATAGAAATTTGCCTAAAAGCAACACTCATCTTATTCCACATTTTTAGAACAATAGGGCAATTTTCCAATTGTCTAATAAGGTTATTGTGCATACTACTTAACATTGTAAAGAGCGCACAACGATCCTTCTTAAACTAGTTATTATAAGCCTATTTGTATTGTCGGCTGCATCTCCTTGTTTGGATGGTTTTATAGCATTAACAAAAGTCTATAAAACTTCTTATTCATTAAAAAGATATTGAATCTTTTTATGCCTTATGTCATAGTTGGTGCCATCAAGTTTCTCACCCTTGGTAAGATCATGGGCAATATTTTGAAGGCCATTTAAGCTACAATATGATTTGAAAAACTAACATTTGGCACAAAGCATTAGACTAATTAAATTTCATATTACTTTTTACCCTATAATTGAGATAAAACATTTTTCCAAATTCATAATCATCACCTACTAGTGCAAGTCATAATAAGTAACTTAATTAATTTCTATTTAATTAGAAACCTATCGATTGGCACAAAATATTAGTGAAACGTGTTCATTAAGCAAAAAAATTGCAACATCACATGAAAATTAATATTGCAAAAATATTAAAGTTGAGTATATCAACATGCTATCAACGATTAAAACATATGCTTGAAGCATAGAAATTTATAGATAACATGTTTTTTTAATATGACAAAAATATTAAAATCAAATATATCATCATGTTATAAAAAATTAAAACATATTCTTGAAGCATAGAAGTTCAAAGATAACATGCTTATTTTAATATCACAAAACTATTAACATCATGCTATAAAAAAAATTAAAACATATTCTTGAAGCATAGAAATTTATAGATAACATGCTTATTTTAATATCACAAAAAAATTAACATCTTGCTAGAAAAAATTAAAACATATTCTTGAACCATAGAAATTTATAAATAACATGCTTATTTTAATATCACAAAAATATTAACATCATGTTATCAAGAAAATTAAAACATATTCTTGAAGCAAAAAAATTTATAGATAACATGCTTTTTTTAATATCACAAAAATATTAGCATCATATTATCAAAAAATTTAAAACACTAAAAGATTCAACGCCAGAAAAGAATCAAATTAGCTTTAATACCAATGTAAGAAATCAAAACACAATGGAAGGTTATGCAATATACTAGAAATCATACTGATTCTAATTATGAGCTATCGAATCTTCTGTCAATCGTCCTCAAACTGGAAGGCAACAAGTGTTTCCTAGATGCCACATGATAAAACCTTTTCTTTTAGATGATTTTACTCTCGTAATTTTGCTACATGAGTTTAAGAAGGATAGTGCTTCTTTTATAGTGAGACAAAAATAATTATGGTTATTTAACTAATAACAATATAATTAATTTATGAAATAAAAGGTATCTCATCTTTTAATGATGAAGAAAATTAACTCGTGAGATAATAATTATCCCATGTAAATTTATCTCATAACTTAATTATTTTTCTCATCTTTTAATGATGTAAATAGTTAACTCATGGGATAACAAGCATCTCAAGTGAATGTTATCTGGTTATTCACAATTATCATCTGTACTAATAAAATGTAAATAACAATAATTAATTAACAAAAAATTTATTTCTTTTAAAAATATATAGGATGGAAACTAATTTAATTTTTTGAACACTTAGAGGTGTACAAAGATCGAATTATTCTAGATCATTCAAGTCTAACTTGACTGAAGTTGGGTATTGATAATGATTTTTTAGGTCCGAAGATATTATTATATTAATAAATAATATATTTTAATATAAAAAAATTTTAAAAATATAATATAAAATATCTTTTCAATATTTTAATAATAAATTTAGCTTAAACGAGGGACTCGGGCTAAACTCAAGATTTGAGTTTTCAAGATGACCATGAACATTTCTTCTATTGAAAGATGATAAAATCTTAATTCATGTAGGGCTGTGAACTTGAAAATGAGACAAAAATAAGTAAAATAATGTAAAGGAAACGGTGGAGGACTACCGGAAGGGCCTACGCAAAGTAGATACTTCTAAGAAATGAGGCATTTGAGGACTTTTTCATCTTTGCCAAACTTTTCCCTTCAAAGTAGTCTACGCATATATATTGTTTTATAACAGTGGTAATTGAACTTTTTTTTTTTCAAATCAATCTAATCCAAGGTTTAATTGTTTTAACCGTTGGATCAGTATCTAAGGCTAAATACGATTGGAGATGTCACTTTTTCTTATTTTTCTCAATGTAATAATAAATAGAAATCGATGACTCAAAGTAGAGTTGAAGTCAAAAAGGCATTACATCACTTCGTAGCTGTTTCATCCAACGTTCCACGAAGCTTCTTTTTATTATTATTTTTAGAAACTTTTCATGTATTTAAGGTTCCTTATAAACTGAAACCCTAACTCCTCATTTCTATATCTCCCTCTGTTTCTTGAGTTACCAGTTTTTTTGTTTTTGGTTATTAATATATATTTCACCTTGAAAAATGGCTGCGAAACGGCTTCTTAGTGAATCTTGTTCCGACCCAGATGAGCCAAAGGAGAAACGGATGAGACCTAGACCTTCTTTTGCTTCGTATGTTTTTGAATTCCCTTCTACAAATGCTTAATTTGTTTCTATATTACTTTTCTCTTCTTGATTTCTTTGCTCAAACCCATTTTCCTTTTGTTTCCTTATTGATTAAATTTTAAAAATATTTTCTCATCTCTTTATATTGTTTGTTTCCATATGGTGCAATTTTACCTTCTGCCTATATATATATATATATATATATATATAACTTCTTATTCAAAGCTAATTTTCTCTGTTTATTAACAGTGTGATTGGGGAAGCTGTTATGGTGAATTGTTTGTGCTCAGCCTTGGAACCAGTCCTTAGAAGAGTGGTATGTACAAACTTTCATAATATAATTCTCATTAAAAGGATAAGATATTTCATTGCTTAAAAATATTTTCAAAATGTTAAAAATGAAAATACTATGAACATTAACTAGGGATTAATTAATCATATAAAAACTTTTAAAAGATGACATCTAACAAATTTAAAATTTAAATTTCAGCATGCATAACACATTTTCCTGTCCCAAGCAATCTCTTTTATAAAAAAATGAGAACATGATTAAACATAAATATCAGTAATGTTTATTAATATTTCATCATCTATGATTACATTTTGCATTTATATGTAATTTCAAGCTTTCTGAATGATTTCAAATGGCTGCAGTTTAACGTAATTGTTTATTTATTTTTGCACAAATAAAATTTCATTTTCATGCGTAATTAAAGATTTAGTATTTTGTTTCATTTCACTATTCATTTTTTCACTTAGTAATTTCTGATAAAATTTCCCTTAATGATATGTTTTTAGGTGAATGAAGAAGTGGAGCGTAGTCTTCAACACGGACTCCGTTCTTTCAGTAGGTCCCCATCTCTTCGAATCCAAGCACCGGAACCATCAACTCTTCAGCTAAGATTCCGTCAGGGCCTTTCTCTACCAATCTTTACAGGAAGCAAGATCATGGATGAAGAGAGCAACCAACTTCAAGTCCTTTTGGTTGATACAAGGGGAGACCAAAGGGTGCCGGTGCGTCTTCCCAACCCAATTAAAGTTGATATTGTCGTTCTTGACGGAGATTTTCCATCGGGGGATGGTAACAGTTGGACAGGTGAAGAGTTTGATAGAAACATCGTGAGGGAAAGAACTGGGAAACGGCCCTTGCTTACCGGAGAATTAGCAGTCACGGTGAGGGATGGAGTTGCTACGATAGGAGAGATTGAATTTACAGATAATTCGAGCTGGATTCGGAGCCGGAAATTCAGAATTGGTGCAAAAGTTGCACAAGGGAGTTTCCAAGGCGTTCGGATTCGAGAAGCCATGACTCAAGCTTTTGTTGTCAAAGACCATCGTGGTGAATGTAAGTTTTCATTCATTCTTCAATATATTTACTCAAATATTGTTAAGCTAAAACAATGCCTTTTTCAGAATCTATCTTCATTATTTTTTATTATCAACAAGGCAAATTGAAATGATAATCTAACAATTAAAAAAAATGATTACATATATTCCTCTCCAATTACTAGCTGTCGTACTTTGCATCGACCCTAGCTGAGATTATGATATATATAAATATATATACAATAGTATTATCAATTTATTGTTTTAAAACTGTTTGCTCTATTTGTTTAATAGAATTGGTGATAAGCACTGATCTTATAATATGCCATCCCATAGCTTAGAAATCTAGGCCGAGTCAAACCATGTGCTCACCAAACTACACCCTTAACAAATAAACCAACCCAACTATATATATTGATGTCAATTTAGTACAATAGTTGTAACAAGCTATAACTGGTTAATGCATCAATTTAATTAAGGTTGAAGAACTTTTTTGTTTAGACTCCACAGAATTCACCTTTTTTTTCTATTTGGTCTGAAACATCTGACATATCATGAAATAGGTAAATTTCAGACAATGAAACTCTGGGTCCATGCCTCCATGGGCATTAAACCATTCAGATAGGTGCATTACTTTTTCATGCTTTCAGACCATTCAAGTCATTTTCAGTCAACAAAGGGCTGCACTACTTCTGCTTCTTAGTATTATCACTTACCAAAAATAATGCCAAAGCCACGTGTTTCAAATTATGCAACCTTAAAGCTAACCAGATAATGGTCCTCGCCTTCCTACATAAGGAAGCCATACTTTTGTTTAATTGTATCTCGTCTAGCCGGCTCCTGTCTGATCAGATCAGGTCAATAGATTGATAATGTTTTGGTTTCATGAAAATCATTACAAGGACTTAAAGGAACTATAATTTTTCATCCTGGTTAAGGTTTTAGTAACTTTTCATTAATTCAAGTAAAATTCTCAATTCAACAATTTCACTAAGCTGTAGAATGACAACAATTTGTTATGTCTTTGACGTTTAATTACTTGGAAAAATCTTACACGAACTAATTGGTAACAATTTCTCTTCCTTTATTTCTTATTGCAGTGTACAAGAAACATCATCCGCCAATGTTGGGGGATGAAGTTTGGCGTCTAGAAAAGATTGGAAAGGATGGAGCATTTCATAAAAAGCTAACCTCTAAGGGCGTTAACACAGTGCAAGACTTCTTGAAAATGTGGGTTGTCGATCCAGCCAAGCTCAGAAGGGTAAGAACTTTCAATCCATAACCCGGCCATATATGTGAATTTAGTGTTTTATTTTCTTTTTTAATTTCTAATCTACCCTTACACTTATGTGATTGTGATTATAGAGATATTACGTGAATAAATTTTTTTGAAACCTTCAAATTACCAACTCTAATGTTAGTATTTTTCTTTCACAAATAAACAAAAATAACTCGTTTTCAATGATGTTGAACAGATTTTAGGCTCTGGAATGTCTGAAAAAGTGTGGGAGGTTACAATCAAGCATGCGAAAACTTGTGTTATGGGCAACAAACATTATATTTTTCAAGGCTCCGATTACGCAATCTTCTTGAATCCCATTTGCCAAGTCATAAAAGCGGAGATTAATGGGAGCATATATCCTATTCACAACCTGAATAATATTAACAGAGTATGCGTTACAACAAGCTAAAATACATATTTTTTATGGCAAGTGTTTATTTATTTGTTGTACATAAGGGGAGAAGAAATTACAGGTATTAAGATTCTAACCTCAAACCTAGAAGAAATTACAGGTATTAAGATTTTAACCTCAAACCTATTAGATATTATCTTTTAAGAATAGTTACATGAGCCAAATGAATTAAACCCCAAATATTTTTTTACCCCAAGCGTGTATTAATCCTATTCATCTGATTCGTACATGGCTCTTGCAATTGCAGGCATATCTTGAAAATTTGGTCAGACAAGCATATGTAAATTGGTCCTCCTTGGAAGAGATAGAAGGAATTTCTAATGAGATTGGCCTGCTGACACAAGGTATTTCCTTTTCAAACAACTTTCAGAACATTAAACTTTGAGCCTTTTTTTTTTTTTTTGCCTTTTAGTAACATTTTACATTAAAATTTTATACAGGTGGTCATATGGTAGATCCTTATCCCAATCATCAACAGATCATTGTGAGATCATTTCAACAAAATGGGTATTTGACAGATAGTTTGATAGCGGGAAATATGCCAAGCGAAATGCAAGCAGATGGCGGTAATTGGCAAATAAGTCAGACTTATTTGAACACCACCCCAATCGAAAATGGGATTCGATTGAACATCTTGGAGTCGAATTCTGATGATGATTTGACTTCCCCAAGATCCTTCATCACAGGGGGTTAATGGTGTGAATTATGTATCAATGAGTAGAAGCAAACAGTGAGATGTGATCATCTTTGTGTCAACCGTTGAAGCATTTAGCATAAATTAGGAAGATAAGGTGCAAATATAATTTGCCTTCTTTTTTTTTTTTCTTGCTTTCCAATTCTAGGTTTCTAAGCGACTGTATACTTATTGTAAATAATAACAACACAAAGGCATATCCAGTGCCGAAGAGGCATAGTGAAAATGTCCTTGAAGCATTTCCAAATTGAATTTTCAGAGTTTCCCAATCATTGATACAATAAAACAACTTTTGTTCTGGCAACACAAGTACAGAACCCCTTGACTATTCACCAGACAAAAAGCAATAGGGAAAAGTGCCAGAGTTCAAGGCCCGTTTAAGTTCTTGTTCAATGCCTCAATCTGCCCATACTTGTATTTTTAATGACAGAATGCGCTGGCCCAAGTTTCTCTTTCCTGATTTTCATGGCTCTGACGTAACTGGGTAAACTGCTCGCCAATGGAGACCGAGAAGCCCACTTGTGCTCCAAGTTGCATTACCCTAAACCCAACCTTTTGAAAACTTCGCTTTGTTATTTTAGATGCAATCAAAAGTTATAACATTGAAATAAAATGGTTACAACAAAAATTTGATGATTTTATTAAAAAATATAATGAAAGATTATATTTTTCTAAATGTTTGATATAATTATGATGTGCTAAAAATGTTGTGGTAACCCAATAAAGATATCATTGAAAGATAAAAGTAGAGAGAATGTCATATTTGATCTTTACACTATACTAATTGTTCTAATGTGACATTTGTTCTTAAAAAAATATAATATTATATTTGAATTATCATTTCATATAATAATGTGGTATTCAAAATTAATATCGTTATACAAGTTCGATAATGAGATAATTAATTAATGGGACGATGATATGTAATATATTTATCATATCATCATGTCATATCATTACAAATTTAATTTTTGTTTACATGTGAAATTCACTTATTAGACCATATGTAGTAATGATTTGATTATAAATATGATTGTCATTTGTCAAATTTTAAATAAAAATATAATATTATTTTGTTAAAAAAATAAATAACAATATTTCTAAAATATATTTTTTATTTTTTATTTCTTTTTTAAATAAAAAATAAAAAATTTTAAAAAAATACAAAAAATTAAAAATATTTTCTCTTTCCTATCTGTTCTCTCTCTCCCATTCTTTCGAGAGATAGAACTATGATATAGCTACACATCCATCCATGTGGAGCACATGTGACTGCTCATATGACTGCCATATGTCAACTTTTAAACAAAAATATAATTTTATTTTGTAAAAAATAAAATAACAAAAATTTTTGTTTGATTATTTTTTTTATTTCTTCAGTAAAGCAACTCCATAATCACTTTTCGAATAAAAAAAGGTTCATCCTCCCTAAAGACTATATAAGATCATTGATCAATCATGCGAATCCCCAAAATTAAAACAATGTCTATCATTGTAACTTTGATCATATCTGGAAGTAACAAAAATTCCATCTCTCCATCAAATCATTATCGCATTTCTTTGATCATAATTGAGTTTCTCCATTAGTTTAACAAATGATGACAAGGAAAATCATGTATTAAAACTCCTAATATGCACACATTTTAAAGCAAACCCTTAAAAAATACATATTTGTAAAAGTAATAACAAAAAACACTTTGTATATCAGAAAGGGTGGTTACAATTTGTTGGGAGTATTTAGTGGTCTTAAGGGCATAATGGTTTTTCTTCTCATTAGAGACTCTTGGTAGAGCCACATCAGCTCGGCCACGTCATTGTTATCCCATATTGGTCCCTTGCCTCTCATTTATAAATATAGACATTTAGGCGTTATCATCCTAAGTTTCTTGTAGCTTTTAATCTTTACTTTTTTCTCTTTTTGACCTCTCTCATTCTAATATCTGACTTGCATGTTGGAATGCAAACATAAAAAACACTTTCTGTCTTTGCACCTAACCACTTTCTTTCTTGTCTTTCCAACAATAACCCTACGTCGAAGCTCAGCAAAAACATTTGGCATGCTAGGTAGAGGACCTTTCTATTTATTAGCCAAGCATAAGATAATGTCGCAAAGGAAGAGAGCTTTGAAAAAAGGAAAAACGGTCGTCCCAGTTGGAATAGAAACACACAATAGTCAAAACTTGGACCGATCTGCTCCACAACAGGCCAGTTTGACCATAGAGTAGTTTTAGGTTTTAGCTGAGCAAATACAAGCTTTTAAGCAAATGTTACAAACTATAACCCCATTATAGGCCTCAAAAGTACTTAACATAGTCACTCTTTGTCGATAAACTGTGGAAAGACGACCAAGTTATAAAGAGATAGAAGCCTCTTCCGCCTCCAAGGAAAAAGAACATGATATTTTAACTAGCTTACCACTACCCGAGTCACAACTCAACACATGCCATAACTCAAAGATCAAAACAAACTGACTTGAAAGCCTAGCTAAATAAAGATCTGAAAGCTCAGATGCAAGTCATAAAGAAAAAGCTAAAAGCAAAAATGGTAGCTTTTGAGGACGACTTTAAATTTTTGGAGATCTCTCATTTCATTGAAGAAATCGACAGAGCTATGCCTCCAAAGGAGTTCAAAATGCTAACTTTAAAAACCTATAATGGTATTTCTAATCCTTTTGGTCACCTATAGCTTTATAAAACTAGCATGATGACACAGGTGTAGACGAAACTCTGATGTGTAAAGCCATTATTACTATCTTCAAGGGCATAACTCAATTTTGGTACAACAATTTAAAATCGAGGTTGATCACAATGTTTAAAGAACTCAGCCATTCCTTTCTGTCTTGATTTGTGAGTAGCTGAAGAATGAAAAAAATGACGTTAAGTCTAATGTCAATTCATCAATGCTGAAATAAATCTCTAAAGGATTATGTCACACATTTTAACATGAAAGCCCTACAAATGAAAAACCTAAAATAAATGGCTATTGTAGCTTCCTTAACAAGTTGACTTAATGATAAAGAGTACCACCTTAAGCTGACCTTATTCCTAGAATCACCTAAGACTTTGGCTAATGTCTTACTTATAGTTAAAAAATTCATAAATGCTGAAGCTACAATAAGAAATAGCCAAGATGAGAGAGGCTCATCCCTTCTTCATCGACGGTTGAGGTGAGAGAGGCTCATCCCCCTTTCATTGATGGTCGAGGTGAGAGAGACTAATCTTTCCTTCTAGATCGTAAAAAAAATAAAGATTTTTATGATTCTCCTTTAAGAGAGAGATGACACAAGGCTAGAAATTTCAGCAAAAAAAGAAACTACATAGCACTGAATATTTTTTGAGTGAGAATTCTGATGCAATATGAAAGAAACTGAGAGCTCAGATGATAAAAACCACTAAGGTAAAACACAAAGAGGGATTTGACCAAAAGATGTACGTTATATAGGGACATAGGTCACAACATGAAAGATTGTGTCAACATAAACAATAAGATTAAAGCTCTAATCAGCAAAAGTTAGCTATGAAGGATTATAGATTGACAAAGATAGAGGCTGAATAGGCTTAATTACATAAGAGATTGATAAGTCCCCAAAAGGGATAAAGAAGGCAAGCCCAAAAAAAATAAGAGAAACAAAGTTTGGAGAGATGAGCAAAGACAGAATGAGAGCTAAGCTACAGATAATAGACTAATTACCAAGGTAATCAATGTGATTATTGGGGGAAGCTTTACTTCAACTAAAAAAAAGTTTGACCAAGGCATGGTTATGGCCATTGGCTTTCCAGCAAAGAAAGAGAAGAACTAGAAAGATGAGTTGATCTTATTTAGTTTACAAAACTTGAAAGAAATCCAATACCCTTATGATGATACCATAGTGATCACAATAGTGATGTACAATTACGTGTTCAAGAAGATATTGTTTGATAACTGGAGCTCAATCGACATTATGTACCATACCACCATGAAAATAATGAGAATTAAAAAAGATCAGTTGTAACTGATAACCATAACCTTGATCGAATTTAGGAATAAGTAGGTACCAGTAAAAGTGACAATCAAATTATCGATTTCTTTGAGGATGAAACCAAAGACAATCACATCGGTCATTGAATTCATGGTTGTAGAGATCCCATTTACTTATAATATGATATTAGGTTAACCTCGCCAATCTATTATATGGCTCATTGGCTTAGCTCTTCATCTAAAAATAAAGTTTCCAATGCCTCACGGGGTTAGAAAAATAAGAAAAGACCAGCATATGGTACAATAATGTTACTTCAAGACAATAAGAGGAAAAACTGAGAAACAGACTGGCAGTTCGATTGAGGTTGAAGAGGTTAAAAAAGAGAAGCAAGTAACAAAAACTAAAAAAAATAAGAAAATAATAGTAAGCAACCACAACAATAGAAAATATACCTGATAGAAGTGTGCCCTCAAGTCTTTTTGAGCTCTTAAGTTCCATTCCAACAAAAAATACATAACAATTTTTTACAATTTTTGAATAGTTCTTGAAAGTGACAAAGCTCTTAAGTTGGCATGAATATTTATGTGTTAATGGGACTGAGCTAACACGTTGACCAAAGAGAAAAATTGATGAATTGAAATGAAATATACACGCATTTTGGTTAGTTCTACATTCTGCTCATTTTCTTAATATTATACTAATTGCCACGTTAGGATTTGTCTCTACAAGAATCGATCCTGACCTAATTGAACAGAAAGAAATAATTGATCAAAGACCCAAAGCAGATGAGAATCAACTTGAGTCAGTAAAAGACCTTATATCCATCTAATTATGAGAAAACACCCTAAAAAAAATTATGCAGATTAGAATTAAACTTAAACATAAGAAGTAATTAATCAAAATTTTGAGGAATAATGTCAACCTATTCACTTGGACATGGTTTGACATGCTTGGCATTAACATCGAGGTAATAATCTATAGGTTGTACACAAACTCAGACATAAAACCAGTTCGGCAAAAAAAAAAAACCTTTACCCTAGAAAGACAAAAGGTCATTAAAGATGAGATCAACAAACTAGTGCTAACAAGTTTCATTAGGGAATTTTACTATCCTTAGTGGATAGCCAATATCGACATGGTCAAGAAACACAACAAAAAATGAATGATGTGTGTTGACTTTATTGAGCTTAATAAAGCATGCCTAAAAAATAATTTTTCTCTCTCTAGTATAGATCGATTGATAGACGATAACATCAAGCATAGCTTTCTCAATTTTATGGATGCTTACTTTGGTTACAACTAAATTAAAATATTGAAGAAAGATAAGAAAAAATAGCTTTCATTATTGAGAAAGTTTTTACTAGTACAAGGTGATGCCCTTTGGCTTAAAAAATATAGGGACGATTTATCAAAAATTGGTCAAAAAGATATTTAAAAATAAGATAGATTGTAATAT